TCTTTCCAAAGCAGTGAGACAGCAGGTTATGAACTTTGGGTTAGAGTTAATAAGTGAGAACTAATGATTGCAATGGATGCATGAGATGATGAGGCTGGTTCATTTAGGAATAAAGAAGAGAGGCTTTTACCCAATAAGTAGTTCTCATCAGTACTAAGCCTCTATACTGGAACATAAAAGAGAAGAAAAGCAATATAAAAAGAAATACATGGGGGAGAAATAGAGAAATGAGGCAAAGGCATCAATTTTTCTACTGTCATCCTTAGTGACTGTCTAGCTCTCAGATGCACAGCAAGTGACTGGAAAGGCCATGGCCTGAATCAGGCACACCTTAGTCCTTAAACTGACATCACTGTTCTTCAATAATTTGGAGAGGTCCTCGATTACAGACCTTCCCAGTGCAATATGTCTCTTGATCTCTTGAATGTTGGTACCAAGTGTATTGACTGTGGATCCAAGTAAGATGACATTGTTGACAATCTCAATCTTTTTCATCTATCATGATGTTGCCTATTAGTCTAGTGATGGGAATTTTCTTTTCTTGGCATTGAGATGTAATCCACATTAAAGGCTATATTCTTTGATCATCTACAGCAAACATTCAAAGTTCTCCTCACTTTCAGCAAACAGGTTTTGTCATCTGAATAAGAGGTTATTGATGAGTCTTCCTCTGGTCCAGATGTTATATTCTTCTTCATAGAGCCCAGCTTCTTGAATAATTTGTTCAGCAGATTCAATCGGTATAGAGAGATACTACAACCCTAACACACACCTCTTTTAATTATAAACCATGTAGTGTTCTTTTGCTCTGCTCCCATGACTCATTAACAAACTTTCCAGTTCTCAGTCAAGTATATCTATTATTTGCTTTGATTTTTGTTTATGGAGGCCTGCTTACATGAGGAATATCACCTGAAATTGATAGGCACAATTAAACAAATGTGCCCACTGCCACTGGGTTGGGTGACCTTCCATTAGGTTTCTGAGGCTGTTAATCTTTATGAGTTTTTTCATCTTTCCTCTGTGGAGCAGTTAGGAAACTTGAACCATCAAACTTTTGTTTAGCAGACAGACACATTATGCGAAGAAAGCTCTATATAAAAATAGTCAAAGCACTTAATAGATATACTTGATTGGGCACTGGGGAATTTATTAGAGGATGCTTTTGTATTTACTTATATCTTGTCTACTTCTCAAACATGTCACTTGGTATGCCACTCATTCCTAGGACCTTATTTTCTGCCAATGTCTTCAATGCAGCTTGAACTTTTTTCCACATTACAATTGGCACTTAATCATATGGTTGTTGTTTACCATCAGGTCAGAAAAAACCCAAAGCTCTGGAGGGTTTTCAGAGACAGTTAATTCATACGAGAGATTGCCCATCCTTCTCCTGTGGAGCAGCAGGTAGATTCAAAATATGTGCCATTGGGATTGCAGCCCAGTTTCCTACTTTGTGAACTATTTCAGTGCTGGCCTATTCCTTCTGGGATAGTGGTTCTGTGTATTTCCATCTTCTTTTAATCACTCAAGATTTCCCCCAAAGCATCTCTAAGTACTATAACGCAAAGCTTGAATTTGTTTTTCAGTTCTTTCAGTTTGAGAAATGACAAGCATGTTCTGCTCTTTTTATTCTCTAACTCTAGCTCTCTGCACACTCTAATGCTTTGCTTTGTCTTCCTGAGCTGCCTTTTGAAATCATCTGTTCTGCACCTTTACTTCAGTATCTCTTGCTTTTATTTCGGTTTCTTGAAATTCTAGTGCAATTTTCAGTCTCTTCTGACATCCATTTTTATTGTCTATTTCTCTTGTGTTTTTGCAATGACCATTTATTCTTTTCATGGATGATATATCTTTGATGTCATTCCACAACTCATTTGGTTGTCAATCATTGGTGTTAAATGCCTCAAACATTTTCTTAAAATTATTTTCAAATACAGATGATTAGACTCAAGGTCATATTTTGGTTCTTGTGGACATATTTTAATTTTTTATCCTCAATTTGAACTTGCACATAAGTAAACTGATGGTCAGTTGTTCTCCAGCTCTCACCAATCTGTCCTATAAAATTTGGAAGAAAGCTACCTGTCTAAATGACTGGAAGAAATCCATATTTTTTTTTTTTCATTCCCAAGAAAGGTGCTCCAACAGAATGTGGAAATTATCAAACGATATCATTAATTTTGTAAGAAGTAAAATATTGCTGAAGAACATCCAAAAATGGATAGAATCATACATTGACAGCGAACTGCCAGAAGCTCAGGCTGAGTTTAGAAGAGGCCATTCAGAACACTGCTGATGTCAGACAGAAGCTGCAGAAGTAGACAATACCAGAAGAATGTCTATTTGTGCTTTATCAGCTATTTTAAAGACATTTGGTTGCATAAATCATAGCAAATTATGTCTAACATTGAGAAGAATGGGAATGCCAAAACACTTAATTGTGCTCATGCAAAACTTATACCTAGAGAAAGAGGATGTTGTTCGAACAGAACAAAGGAATACTGCATGTTTAATATCCAAAAACATGTGCTTCGGGGTTAAATCCTCTGTATATACCTATTCAATCTATACACTGAACAAATCACTTGAGAAGCTAGACTTTATGAAGAAACTGGCATCAGGATTGAGGAAGACTCCTCAACAACCTGTGTTACAACATGTTACAAAATCTGAAAGTGATAAAGACTTTAAGCAATTATTGCATAAGTTGAACATGGATTACAATTCAACATCAAGAAAACAAAAATTCTCATTACTGTATCAATAGGCAACATCATGATGGATGGGGAAAAAAGATTGAAAACTGTCAACAACTTTATCTTACAAGCATCCAGTACCAGCCGTTAGGAGATCCAGAGACATACTGCATTGGGAAAGTCTGTTGTCAAGGACATTTTCAAATTACTGAAGACCAACACAGTCAGCTTGCAGCCTAAGGTGCACCTAAACTTGCCAGGCATCTAAGAACTTGACAATGTATAAAGATTACAGAAGAAGAATTATACCTTCAAGTTGTGCTAGAGAACAGGATTAAACATCCCATGACTTGTAAAATGAACAAATAGCTATGTCTTTGAGAGAGTACAGATGGAGTGCTATTTGGAGGCAAAGATGACAAAACTTCACTTCTCACACTTTGGGCATGTTGTTTCAAAGGGCAGTTCCCTGATGAAGAAACATCATGCTTGCAAAGGTGGAAGGTCGGAAAAAGAGAGAAAGATCCTCAACCAGATGGACTGACAAAGTGACTGCAGCAATGGCTCAAGTATGTTAGAAGTGTTGAGGATAGCACAGGATAAGACAGGATTTAGATCTGTTGTTCAGTAGTTCAATAAAAGTTGTACTAGTCTTGATAGCATCTAATAACAACAATAATCTACTTATTAATATGATTAATGAAAATGATGGTGAATCCACTTGATGGCACAGGGCAATCTATACCCAATTAAGTAAGTCCGATGTTTTACTCATGGAAGAACTTTTCATTAAAAAAACAATACTGTAAGAAAAACTAAAAATAGATAAGTGCATTTTAGCTGTGATAATGCTATTTTCTACTCAAAATGAAACCTTTGGTGACAGCTAGCAAATGTAATTTCAGAGCTCTCTGGATGTTAAATAATGGCTTGCTCAAGAATACAAATGGATGAGTGAAAGCATTGTTTCTAACTTACTATAGATTTGGGGAAATGCCATAAAAGAGTGATTAAGAACAAGCTTTCCTGCAGATAAAGTTATTCCAGATAATGATAAAAGTAACACTTAAGACAATCTTAGTGGCTCTTAGTAGTTTTATCACTGTCCCAAAGACGTTTGACCTCTGGATACAACCAGTGAATCATGACTTATTTAAAACATGTATCATATTTTAACCTGAAGTATCAAAGAAAGTTTATGCACACCTGAATACTAATGAAAGATAAACATTAATGAAATTCAAAGTTAAATAAGGGCAAAATTAGATCCTGAAATAAGAAAATGGAACTTGATTTGCTCTAGAAATCCTTTTATTCAGAACACTGCAAATATCCTTTACTTAGCCACAATACCTAAAACGTAAATAGTACTTGTTCATATTTTCTTTTTAGTTTGTGAAACGCTTTATTTTCTGTTTGAAGACTTGGAGAAAGAATATTTTTCCTTCTCTAATGCTTTCCAGCTAACTAAAAGCAAAAATAAACTTTAAAATGCATTTTTATAAAATCTTTTTCTTTTAGAGTTGATATCCTGACATAGTTGAATTTTATAATAGCATTTACTAGGGCTATATATGTGGCTCGAAAAAAAATGACTGAAATAAAAAAATCAAACAACATTAACTGCAAATATGAGTGTATGTAAGTGAGATCCACGGTTCTGCCCAGTCTGTTTGGAAGTGCTAACATCCCAGGTTGAAGTTCCTAAAGTGATCAAAAGTCAATAAAGTTACAGTAAATTGCTCAATACTATTCTAAAAGCAATAAGCAATTTCCTGATTTTGTACTCAAACAGGAACAGAACTGTGCACAAACAAAACCAGTTAAGAACATATTTCCTTTAAAATTAAATGCACAAATCTTCTGTACTATATTTTATATTCAAGACAGGCTGCGTGTGCATGTGTGTATGCACATATGCATGTGTATGCAGCACAGCTAGTCAATGGTGTAGTAACTGAAAGGCCTATATAACAGAATTTACATCTTACAAAAACTCTATACCTTCTCTTTAATGAGTACATTATGGAGACAAATCAATAATGAAGGTGAAGAAGAGAAACTGTTCATAGGAAAAAACCAACATGAATATGTAGGGATTAAATGTTTTATCACTTTTTTACTATCAAATGGTATGGAGTATTCTTTAAATTATGCTAAAGGTATGATGTCAAACTTATAAGATAATAATATCTTCAAAACCCAATTGCTAATTTGGAAAAGAATGAGAAAATCCAGAAAATCAAGAATTTAAGAGATGGTACAAAGATGTGACAGAACTGAGTTTATTGGCTTTCTTACCTTGTACATGGTAGAGGCGCACTCTGTGAGTAATATGGTCAAAGAAGCAAGTCACTTCTGAATAAATCCTTCCATGTGCCACTCTTAGAAAAGGCATGGTTGTATACACATAAAGCTGCAGATATAATGACATATTTTTAAGAAAAACTGTTTGGTTTCCAAGCATTTTCAAGAAATACTTATTATAGTCTCCACAATGGTAAATGTGTATCATCTGACATTTGCAATTTTAAATGAAAAGCAAACTTCATTATGTATCAGAACAAGCACTTACTATAAATATTGATTATAAGGTTTTTCATTATAATAAATGCTGAAAGAGAAAATCAAAATGTTTACAACTTGATTGGCCTATACGGTCTACAAATATTCCTCCTAGCTACAAAAATTTCTCATTATGATTCTTCTATATTATCAATATAGTTATTTATTAGAGCTAGAAATTGTTCCACAGCCATGACATTTTTCCAGGCAGGCAGTCATTATAACCACGGCCCCCTAATGTTGAGAGGTCAAGGCAGCAGCAAGGAAGAGCCACAGGGAGCTTTCTAAATAAACAGGAGGCTGGAGTTGGAAGCATAGCTTCATCACAGTGAGTTCACTACAACACAAAGTACTTCAAGAACAAGCTAGATATAAAGCAAACACATTACAAACTTCCTAAAGAAATGACTCGGAAATCATTGGTTTACCTTTCATTCTTTAGCATTCATATTCAAGAAAATAAGAGAAATCACATTACTTAAATAGTATGGGAACAGATTTGCTTATATGGTATTTGTATTCTTAAGTATTAAATGACTTAGAAATCACAAGAGCATGAAAAGCAGGTTTACAGTGTAAGCAACATAGTATGATATTCCCCTTCCAAACGTATCCTTTTAGCTAGAGGAAAAGATCATGGAATTAACATAATATTTTAAGCTTTAGAGGGAGCACTGGTGAACTGGATAGGGAGTTGCACTGCCAACTGAAAGGGAGGCAGTTCAAATCCACCAGTTGCTCTGAGGGACAAAGATGGATATTCTCTTCCTATGTGATTATTCCTATGATATATTCCGATATGATTATTAGCCTCTGAAAACCGACTGGAGGGTCAGCTCTGAATCACTTCTGACTCAACGCCAATAAGTTGTATTAAGTTGAATTTTACAATTCAACTTTTACAACTGAACTTTACAATTCAACTCAACTTTGGCGACAGAGTCCATAGGGAGTTATTAACTCAAAGTAGCACCCTTCTTTCTGCCAGTTCGAATCCACTAACAGCTCCAAGGCGAGAAATACAGGCAATTGCCTCTCATGTATTTTACAGTCTTGGAAACTCAACAGAGCATCAGGTCAATCATGACTCAAAGCAAATGAGTAAGTTTGTGTTTTATACTTCATAAAGTGCTTGTATCTACCGATCTACATGTATGTACTAAGGGGATGAAAACCCTAAATGGAAATTCCTGGGGTTCTGTTTCTATCCTGATGTCTCTTTATAATCTATAATAACGTACAGTTAGATCTCCTTATCTGTCATAACACTTACTGAAAAAGAAAAGAAAATGTTAAATAATTTAGTCATGCTACGAGGAGGTGCCACTCTTTGGAAAAGTTCATGCTGGGAAAAGCAGAGGGTCAGGGAAAGAGAAGACGACCCCAACAAGCTGGACTAGCACAATGACCATGACCATGGGCTTGAGCACGTCAGAGATGCTGAGGGAGGCACAGGATAGAGGAAGCTCAGATCTGGGGTATACAGGGTCGCGAAGAGCCACAGGCAACTCGTAATAATAACCACTACCACCTAATGAGAACAACAACAACACTATTGTCCATGGACACAATTTCACCTCAAAGATACTTTTTTTAAAAGGATAAGAACAAATCAAACAAAACAAAATATCTGGACAGAAAATTGGAGGGAAAATACTTTCTCAGGATTCCCTATCTGGAATGCCGACTACCATGAGTCATTTTATCTTTAACTTATCAGTGATTTAAATAAACAAAAACTACAATTCCTAATGTGGTCCACACAATCCCTTACAACATAATATGTTATTCTGGTGAGCAGGTTTTCATAATAGTATCTTTTTCAGACTACAGATGCCTAGGCAACAAAAAAGTACACTATTTCTCACTGAGGTGGGAAAGACCTATACATGTATAAAAGCAAAGGAAGAAACACTTAACAAAATAATTAATTAAACGAAAACCTACTGTAACAGAAAAATTAATAATAAATTTGAGGGAAAATTTGGCAACATATAGAAAACAGGTTTAATGTGCTTACTACTGTTACTGGGTGCCATGCAGATAATTTTCTAATGCTGTGACCCCTATGGCAGACAGAACAACTTTATAGCATTTTCTAGTTTGTAATCTTTATAGGAGGGAATTAACAAATCTTTCACTCATCCAGCCACAGGGTGGGTTTGAACTGCTAACACTTTGGTTAGCAACTGAGCATCTAATCATTACACCACCAGGTTACTTGTGTTTATTATACTATGCAAGAAAAATATCTCACAGACCAGTAAGACACTTCAATAGAAAAATAATCAAAGAGCTTCATAAACTCATATGCATGATGAAATGTGCAAAGAGATTTGCCCTTAACAGTAACCATGAAAAAGAAAAATATTTACAGTAAAGTATGTTTTTCCTTGGAGGCTAGGATTTCGAAGCTTTGTCTCACATACTTTGGGCACATGGCCAGGAGGGGCCAGTCACTGGAGAAGGACTATTTAGAAAAGCAGAGGGACAGCGCCGGAGACGAAGACCCTGAATGAGACTGACTGACACAGTAACTTGGGTAATACGGGGAGGTGAGTCAGAGTCAGTGAGATGGATCAGGACAGTGCAGGCTTCAGGGCTGTTGTACACAGACAGGGTTGCTATGAGTTGCAGGAACTAGAAGGTATATAACAACAATAACAACAGAGTTTGTTTCATATATTATTGAAACTCTTTTAATATGGCTATCAAAAGTTGCAACAGATATTAGAGAACCACTTTAAAAATGTATGTAGTCTATCTGCAGAGAGAAGCAGCAGTATGAAAAGCCTTAAGAGGCTTCATGAACTGATAGAAAACTCTTCAGGAGAATTCCAAGGAAATAGTCACACTTGTATAAAAACACTGTAAAGAATGTTTATCATGATTTTATAACAGTGATAACTGGACGAAAAGGCACATATACATCAACAAGAGATCCTTAAGTAAACACAACAGCGTATATTAAAGTTGTGTTTTCAGAGAATATACCATCAGACTGTAAGCCTTTTCACAATGTACAATAAAATATGTGCATGCAGTAAGACAAAACCTGGGAAAGAGGGAGAAAGGATGTTCACAAAACAAAATAAGAAACACATCAAAATGTTGCAAGTAGTTTTTACTGGCTTATGGACTAGTTGGTAATTTTTATTGTTTTCTTCAGCTTTCTGCATTTTCAAAATATGCCAGAATTTTTTATAGTCAAGAGTAGAGGGAGGAAAAAAAAGCAATCAAACATACATTTTGAGTTTTAAATACTAAAAGTTAAGGAGCAACAGAAAGTCCATTGGGTATTTTATTTTTCACCCATGACTGCGTATTTTGTATGGACATATATATATGCTTGTGCTGCATATGCACAGAAGGGTACAACAGCATCCTAGGTCATATCTAGCCGCTTCATTTTTAACTTCAAATTAATTTTATTGAATATTTAATTCATTGTTGCATTCTAACTGTAGTCTTACTCTGAAAAATTCTTTACCTAACTTTTAACTGTAAGTTAACTAATAACATACACTACAAATACTAAAGGGATAGAATATATGGGCACTAAATTATGTATCCCCAATTGTTACTGTATCAAGCTGACTACAATTCAAAGCGACCCTATGAATAATAACTCTGAATCTTGCCCTACCCAAGCCAACCTCAGTACTTGACACACCTGCCCTTATTGTCAGTTACTGTATCAATAAGCCCCCCACTCCCCATTAGTCTTTTAGCATCTACTGACTGCTCATTCATCAGCATTTACCTTGGCTTCCCCATCAGGTAAGAAAAGATAGGCACCGCTTTTGTCTTTTCTACTTGTGGTTCCATACCATGAAAATTCCAATTTTACTATTCGATGTTTGCCATCTTCTTTACTTATCATTTCCTAAAAATAAAAAAAAGAGTTTAAAAACAATGAACCATTATGATAATAACCACATTAAGATATCAAATGTATTAGTTCCATGTATATGCTCTTATGAAAACACTAAATACTGATATAAAAAGATAGAAAACCTACTAAATATATTTTTAAAATGTTACATTTCTAATAGTAAAAACTCTTGGTTGAACACTCCATATTTTATAGTCTTGAGATTAAAAACCTTTAACAAAAAGAACAGGAATCCATTCTATACTTCATTAAGAAAGATATAAACAAATTAGAAGGGCTAGCCTATTTTTTAAATTTTCCATTGTGATGGGGCAGGTTTCCTTTTTCTTTCCAATCTACATAAGCCAACATTTCTATAAAGTACAATGAAATTGAACTTGTGGGAAAAAAGAAATATAAGTGACAGCAAACACAAACTCAATGTTTTTTTTTTAGGGTCATAGTCAACAGACATAAATTTACTCTACCAAATTGCTTTACAAGTTTCCATAAGAATTTCTTAACATTCACAATACCAAGTTATAGTCCAATGACAGGTAGTTCACAGAGCTACACTATCCCCAGATGACTGTGTACTCTGGACATAATTGGTACAATCTTACCTAAGCATACCTTTAAATCTCTTTACACAAGTAATCCTACTTATGTACATTTAACTTTACTACATGTTGAGTAAAAGTGATAAGAAAGCTCCTATGAATTTCAGAATTACTTAAATGAACATACCTCCATAAGCCCTGATCGTCCAAATCGAAGTTTAATAAAGGAGTTTTCTAGCGTTATATCTTCTTCAGCACTCTGTACATTCTTTATGTTGAAAAGTCCTTTAACTTCTGTTTTGCCATTGTATAGAACGTATTCTGCTAAGAGTGATTTTGAACTTGTTGATTCCAAAATCTTAAACACTTTCAATCCTAAAGGTGGTATATTTGCTAGAAAGGAGATCTTTAAAAGACAGAGGAGAGAATTTATTAAAAAGAAAATAAGATACTGAAAGGAAAACTATTTCTATTTTAGCAAAAACAGGACCACTACCAACAAAGCCATTATTTTTTTTAAGAGAATGTTAATACTTTTTTGATCATTTATGGGAAGAGTACCCCATCTCAGTTAATCCTAACTAAGAGGCCTACGAGGGACTTTAGTGTTCTCATCTAAAAAGTGAAATAGATGAAATTACAAAATATGCGGAATTGTGTGCCCATCAATCATTGTCCCATAGTGATCCTAATGAATGTCTATAGAAGAGAAATTTTCCATGAAGGTATAGTTTTATTTTGAACACACTTTATCCTAAGTATTGTTGTTGTTGATTGCCTTCGTGTCAAGCATGACTCACAGTGACCCTATGAACAAAAGGTCTCAAGCCCCTCTACAGCTATCAACATTTATAAATGTTCACAGAGTTTCATGGAGCATGTTATTTAGGAAGTGGATGCCACTCCTGCTTCTAAATCCTAAGTATTAGAAGCCCTATTGTAGTTGGCAGCAATCATTGCATGACTGGAGATTAGTAAACATAAACAAGGAAGGCATGGTGATAGTTATGGCATAAAACATGACCCTGTTTCATAGAGCTGTCGCTGTATTTTCTACATGGAATGCTTCCTGAAATTTATAGGTAACATTTTGTATTATACTTTTTCTTTCAACTGAAAGAACTAGACATTTGTGGCTAGAATGGCTTTTAAGAACTTCTTTTACTGTGGCTGACTCTGAGAAGAATGGGAATGCCAGAACACTTGATCGTCATAATGCGAAACCAATACTTGGACCAAGAGGCAGCTGTCACAACAGAGCAGAGAAACATTGCATGGTTCAAAATTGGGAAGGGTGTACACCAGCGATGTGTCCTATCTCCATACCTTTTCAACCTCTATGCAGACAGATTACCTGGGAGGCTGGGCTCTATGAGGAGAAATGTGGTATCAGGATTGGTGAAAGACTCGTCAACAATCTGCATTATGCAGATGACACAACACTGCTTGTTGAAACTGAGGAGGACCTGAAGCGCTTGCTGCAGAGGGTCAAGGACTATAGCCTTCAGTATGGATTGAGGCTCAATGTCAAGAAGACAAAGATTCTCACCACTAGGCCAATTGGCAGCATCAGGATGGGTGGTGAAGAGATTGAGACTGTTTACAGCTTTAGTTTGTTTGGCTCCACAGTCAACACTCTTGGCACCAGTACCCAGAAAATTAAAAGGCGTATTGCCATGGGAAAGTCTGCTGTTAGGGACCTCTCCAAAGTACTGAAGAGCAATGGTGTCTCTCTGGAGACTAAGGTGCATCTGATACAGGCCATGGTCTTTGCAATCACTTGTTATGCATCAGAGAGTTGGACAATGACTAGGGAGGACAGAAGGAGAATTGATGCCTTTAAGCTGTAGTGATGGAGAAGAATATGGAGGGTAGTATGGACTGATAGTAAAACAAACAGATTCATCCTGGAGAGGGTTAAACCAGGCTGCTCCTTGGAGGCTAGGATTCTGAGGCTTCGTCTAACATACTTTGGATATATTTTAAGGAGGGACTGGTCCTTGGAGAGGGACATCATGCTTGGTAGGGTGGAGGGACAGTGCAGGAGAGGAAGACCCTCTATGAGGTGGACTGATTCAGTGACTGGAATAATCGGGATGGGAGTCTCAGGGACAGTGCCACTGACACAGGACAGAGCAGAGTTTAGGGCTATTGTAAATAGGGTCGCTATGAGTCGCAAGTGACTCGATGGTACATATCAACAACAACAACATGAGTTGCAGTAAATTTGATAGGCACATAATAGCAAGATGGCATCCACTCAGTGGTAATCACCACTACCATGAGTTTACGGCTCATCTTCAGAAATAGTGTTTAAATTGTACTCCATAGTCAAAGAAGTCCAAGCTTTCTAGTGACATGGAGTTTTGTTAAACAATGCTTATTTTAAGAAACTTTAAAAATACAGTCTATTAATAGTACTCAGATCTTAAAGCTATTTCAGGAAATTGTTCTTTTATGGTTCGTTAATACGTTACTACTTAAAAGATTAGTCAATCCAAAGTTATTTAGAAAGGTGATATATATTTCTAATTCAATGTGGATAACAATCCTTCATACCAGTAATATGTACCAGGGAGCTCTCATGGTCTAGTGGAAAGAAGCTGCAGTGGAGTTCCGGGAGTATGTGATCTGAATTCACCAACTGCTGCACAGAAGGATGGGTAATCTTCTCCTGTGTAATTAACTGCCTACGAGAATCTGCTGAAGAGTCAGCTATGGGTCAGTTCTGACTCAAATGCACACAATAACAACAACAACAACAACAACAACAACATGTACTACTTTGAGGAAGCTCTGGCTTAGTGGTAAGGAGCTGTGTTGCAAATCCAAAGGAAGGTTCCAATTCAATGGCACATAACAACTATTATCTATCTATTTATCTATGATAATAACAGATTGCATACACTAATATAATGGATATCTGGGGAAACACAAGATTTATTTTCCTTTAGTATCACTGAACTGCTCAGCAAAGCTCACTGACATTTATAACCTTGATAATCTCACATACATTAACACAATGACTCAACAGGTTACATATTATATACTGGCTCTTCTTTATCAAATGCTCTTTTAGTTTTATGGAGACAACATACCTCATAGGCTGACTGTGAAATAGTATTTGCTGTATCCCAAACTGCACTGACTTGAATGTCCATAGGTTTTCCTGCAGCGGAGACTACTTGCACATTGGGCGAACTCACATAGACTGAGACCACTGAATGTCGGTCTTGTTCTAAAGGATTATAGACCACAAGGTACCTGCAAAAACAGCAGCTTCACTAATGGGATTTCAAAGTATTTTTACTTCTTTCACATCCTTCTGTAAGAAGTTAAGCTAAAACCAATAGTAATAAAGATAACAAATGGAGAAGAATTATAAGCCACGTTCTGTAGAATTTCTAGAGCATAGGTAAATTCCTAACAACAAATGCTTCACAAACAAACATAAACGGGGTAACAGGATTCAAAAAACACTTTCTAAAGTGCAAAATGTTTACAGATAGATGACAATAATATAATCACACTGGAGTTCATAGGCCAGAAAATTATTTATATAAACATGATTTTAATGATTTCTTTAAAAAAATCAGCTCAATACACTCATACCGTAGTCTTTACCTAATCTCACTGAATTAAAAATAGATATTTTTTTCTATTTACAGTTTTGCCATGATTAATTGAAATTAAAAAAATCTCACATTCATTTCTGGTCATCAGCACAGCCAAAAAATATATGTATGGTTTTCATGTAGAAGCACATAAGTCAAAATTTTATAACTGGAGACCCTTATATCCAAAAACTGACTATGGGAAAAGGGAAACACTAGTGTCTCACTTAAAATGGGAATAAAAATTTTATTACAGCTAATTTTTTTGTACTTGTGTACCACAGAGTCAGAACCGACGCATAGCTGACCCTCTGGCAGGTTTTCAGAGGCAGTTAATTGCATAGGAAGAGAGTGTCCATCTCTTTCCTGCCGAGCGACTGGTGGCCTTGAGCAACATGCCTTCAGGGATTGCAGCGCAGCTTCTTGCCACTAGGCCACCAGAGCTACCTCACAGCTAACAGTGAAACAATTTTTGATGGGAATTTATCTAAGAAAACAAAAATAAAGACATCTAAAATATATTTAGGCAATATTTACAACTACATGCAATTCTTAGAAAGAATAAAAAATATTTTTTTTAAAAAATCTTAAATGAGATTTTTGGCAAAATTTTTTCCAAGATTAGAACTTTATGACATCCTTCACATAGCTTTTATTCCACAGGTCAGTATTTTAAAACATAATGATATTTACAAAAATATTCAAGGAAGGCATAATTTTTCCTACACCTTTCTCAGTTCTTTGATATTAAGATAATTCTCATTTGAAACAAACAGCACCCTTGATTTTCTCATTGGCATGATTCTATCAGATTGCCATTGTTTCACGACTTTAAGTAAAACAGTCTAGACAGACCACACATCACAGACTTCATGAAATCTACATTCTATGAATGTTTTGGATTTTACTTTATAATCAATTTCTAGTATAGTATCTTCAAATAAGGGGATAGTCTTAATGCAAATTAAAGAAGGAAGTTTTACTACTTGTAAAAGTCATTCATTCATTAGTGGACATTTTCATGATCTGAAATATTTTATTTCCCTATATAGTTGTAAAATGAATAAAGAACTAACTAGTCATGCCCGCCTCCCTTACAAATGGTAGTTGTGTATGAATCAAGGTACCATCATTTACTGCAATTCTTCAGAAGGCATATCAATGCTCTTTCAACTGATCTATGCATGTGCCAGATATATTTTTTGCTTTCAGATGCATTACAAACTATTCATCAAAAGAGAAAATTACTACATGCAGAGACCAAAATTAAAAACAAAGTCCAGGGAACAACAAAAAAATAGGAAAGATGATACAGTATAAATAACTATGAAAAGTTGGAATTTATCAGAAGTACCTTTGATTTTAAAAAATATACTGAGATACTAAAAGTGACAAGTGTATTACAGAATCAGAACTGACTTCATAGCTGATCTTCCCAAGGGCTTTTCAGAAGTAGTTAATTACACAGGAGGAGACTGACCATCTTTTTACACAGGATGGCTGGTGGATTCGAACATGTCTTTGGGTTGGCAGCCCAACTCCTTACCACTAAGCCACCAGAGCTCTCTCTAATCTGTATTACACTTTTACATCAGTGTAATATGAACCAGCTATATCTTTGGGGGTGGGGGTCTCTGGTGGCCTAGAAGTAAGGCATTGTGCTGCCAATTCAAAGGTACATAATTTGAATCTACCAGCATCTGCGGGAGGAAAATGGGCACTCTCCTCCTGTGTGATTTAGTCTGAAAACCTATTGGAGGGTCAGCTGAGCTGGTTTCAAATCAAGGCTACATAACAACAGCAACATGTCACTTAGAGGAGGACTGATGACCTAGGGCATATAGTATGTTAGACTGATAAATGAAAGATGAGTAGTCTCCTCTGGTAAAGACAGATGGCCGCAGAATTCAATGGAGGGTTGCTATGAGTTAGCATCAACTAGACGAAAGTAGGGTTGTAATTGGTTTCTGTCACTCATGTTCATCGAGGCTCAATGTCAAGAAGACAAAGATTCTCACCACTAGACCAACTGGCAGCATCAGGATGGATGGTGAAGAGATTGAGATTGTTAATAACTTTAGTCGGCTTGGCTCCATGGTCAACACTCTTGGCACCAGTAGCCAGGAAATAAAAAAAATATTGCGATGGGAAAGTCTGCTGTTAGGGACCTCTCCAGGGTACTGAAGAGCAATGGTGTCACTTTGGAGACTAAGGTGCATACAGGCTATGGTCTTTGCAATCACTTGTTATGCATCAGAGAGTTGGACAATACTAGGGAGGATAGAAAGCAAATTGACGCCTTTGAGCTGTGGTGCTGGAGCAGAGTACTGAATGTACCACGGACTGCCAAGAAAACAAACAGATTCATTCTAGAGAGGGTTAAACCAGGCTGCTCCTTGGAGGCAAGGATTCTGGGGCTTTGTCTGACATACTTTGGACACGTTGTAAGGAGGGACAGGTCCTTGGAGAGAGACATCATGCTTGGGAGAGTGTAGGGACAGCGCAAGAGGAGACGACCCACTATGAGGTGGATGGATTCAGTGACTGGGGTAATTGGAATGAGTGTGTCAGAGGCAGTTCAGTTGGCACAGGATAGATCAGGGTTTAGGGCTGTTGAACATAGGGTCGCTATGAGTTTCAAGCAACTCGATGGCACATAACAACAACACAACAACAATATGAGAAGAACAGCTAAAGGCACATAAACAAAAGTCTGTCTCCAAAGGACAATGAAGTCTCCAAGTAGCAGATAATAGCTACTGTCATCATGGTGAAGGCAACTCACAATGACTCCATCATGTGTGTCAGAGTACAAGTGTGTTCCACAGAGCTTTCAGTGGTTCTTTTTTTTTTTTTAAACAGATCACCAGGCCTTTCTTCTGATGTACCTCTGGGTGAACTCAAATCACGCATCTTTTGGCTAGCAGCTGAGCACTTGAGAATTTGAACCATCCAGAGACTCCGAGTATTAGATGACAGCTCCTCTTATCTATAAAAGCAGTTCTCAAGAAGAATTAAGTGACTCTACTTGGACCCGCCTACTTTTCAGCCATCAGAATTTATGTTCTACCTGAATTTTATCCCATCACAAACACACCTGGAGAATCACAAATGCTAAGATTCAATGTTACCCACAGAACAGTACCAAATTCCTAAGAAGTGCTGAGGAACAGTTGGGAAACATTTATCTTCAACACTCAAGATGTTCAAAACTGTGCTTCAGAATGAATTGATTTACTACTAAACCCTATATTCCCAGAAACTTCCAAATCTATTTTATAAAGAACTCTCAAAAATTGTGGCTAGGAGAAGCCCTCAGAGATCCTCTCGCCCAATCTAATTCTGCACTGAAAGCCCCAAGATACCCCAGCTGCCTGCAGTAAGCTAAGCCGAGAATCCCCACTGGCCAAGTTCTCTTGATGCACTACCACACAGAGCCGGTCACGAAGGCTCTGATAAAATGCAATGTGTTCCCAAGCAATAAATTAGATAATAAGCATCCAGAACAATGATTCCTCTCCATGGGGAAAAAAATGACTCACATATTAAGCAAATAATAATTTTAACCATACATTTGTTTTTCTGCAATATTAAACCACTTTTTATAAGCTGAGACCTAGGTTCTGTTTTGTTTCATTTTAGTAGCTAATTAGTATTTGACCATAATGATGTTGCTACTGTACTGAATGATTATGTAATTATCATGCCAGGAATCTATTAAAAAACTAAATTGGTAGAGTATATAATGAGTATAATGTGGTACTAAGAAAATAATTTTTTAAACATAATTAGAGATTCACAGCGTGTTCTTCAAGTACATCAATGATGCAAACTTACCTGACACACAATATCCACACAAATGCACATCTATTTATGTTTTAAGCAGAGTATAGGAAATGTTCAATCATATATAAATTGCATTTACTTTCACCATAAATGCATCATTGCAAATTAACTAAATTTTCAATATTATCATGTTTAGTTAAACGTTTTGATGTACTGACATTATGCCCTCAAATGGATCGTTTTTTAGTCCTTTAGCTATGAAGGAAAGCAACAGGTCTCAATAGTATATCATAATGTCATGCTAACTTATTGAAAACTCTTTTCAATTGACACTAGCAGGGAAAAGGGAGCTAGTTGCCCTAGTGGTGAAGAAGCTGTATTACCAACAAAAAGGCAAGCATTCCAAAACCATGAGTTTCTTCACAGGAGAAAGAAGGACAATCTCCTCCCATGAAATTTATAGCCTTGGAAAACTCACTGGAGGTCAGATATGAGTCAATTCTGACTCAACAATAATGAATCACTACCAAAAAACCCACCAAACCAAAACAAAACTCCCCAAAACCCTCACTACAGGTACTATTTATCCTGAAAATAGTCTCTAGTTCACTTCTATATTCTCTTAGAGGTAGCGGTGTAAGAAATCCAGAATGCTACCCTCCCCGTGCCATATTAGAATCCCCTTTTTATCTCTTATCTGTCATCTTAACCTCAGCTTCTTTGTCTCTTTGAGACACTGGGTTTCTACAATTAGGGTCATGGACAACTATTTGTATTCTCTATATGGACTGAATTATTTGCTATGCATCAGAGAACTGAAAAATGACTAGGGATGATCAAAGTAGAGTTGATGCCTACAAACTT